GTACAATATGGTCAACATTTTCCCCCATCAGTGAGTGGATCACTCACCCTCGCTGGTACGTTACGGTCAACACAGTGACTCACTCACCTTGCCGTTTTCTCTCCCGCCGCTCCTGCAGCTGTTTTTTCTTCTGTTTCACACTGAAAGGCTTTTTCCGCGGCATGGTGCCTAACGGTGACTCCCCCTCCCCACCAACCCCGACCCTCTCCCTCTTGCAGCCGGGCCTTTTAGCCGCGCACCCCCACAAAACCCTCTCAATTCCCAATGCCCTGAGTCTCCGGCTTAGGAACGAAACCTAAGGCAAGTTACAATCGGGCTGACTCGGGAAACGCCTCCACCAACAACAGCCGCTCCGCCCGCAGGCCGCATGCCCGACTGCGCGCAACCGCACCACCCACAGCACGAGGCCAGGCCCACTGCGCAGCTGCACGTCGTGAGCCCCGCCCCCTTCCAAACCAGCCCCGCCCAGCCCAGCCTGCTCATGGCGCAGCCGCACGACCGTTTCCCCGCCCCGTCCCGCCCCGAAGACTACCCGCTTCACCGAGAGCCCCGCCCTCCCGCACACCGCGCAGGCGTACGACCGTGTCCCTTTCTCCCTCCCCTGGCCCAAACCAGCCGCGCAGCCGCAACGCGCGACCATTCCCCGCACGCAAGCCGCGGGGTGATGGCACCGCCCCCAAACGTCACCGCGTCTTGTCTAGACGGCCCCGCCCACGCCCTGGACCGACTGCGCCTGCGCGGGACATGTGTTCCCAAGCGTTGCCCTGCTCCAGGCGGTGACCCACTTTGTCCCGATCGCTCAGCTGCTCGTAGAGCTCCCTCTCCCTTCTCTGCACGACCGATCCCGCGCATTCCTCCCCTCCGATCGATTGCCTCTTATCGGACACTTCCCGTTCTCCTGACTGACCTCAGTCTGTGAGATTTCAGTCATGGCCCACCTCCTTGCTCTGATTGGCAGCCCTTAACCCGGCCCCTTCTTCCCTCATGTGTATCAATTTATTAAACAAAGTCAGTCCATGTGTGTTGTTAGTCTCTGTTACTTTATATCACCTAATATGGAACATTTTTGGAATACTGCGTTAGATTCTGGTCTCCCTGCTATGGAAAAGATGTTGTGAAATTTGTAAAGGTTCAGCAAACATTAACAAGCATGGCGTTGTTAAGAAGGCGTACAGTATGTTAGGTTTTATTGGTAGAGGGATTGAGTTTCGGAGCCATGAGGTCATGTTGCAGCTGTACAAAACTCTGGTGCGGCCGCACTTGGAGTATTGCGTACAGTTCTGGTCACCACATTATAGGAAGGATGTGGAAGCATTGGAAAGGGTGCAGAGGAGATTTACCAGGATGTTGCCTGGTATGGAGGGAAGGTCTTATGAGGAAAGGCTGAGGGTTTTGAGGCTGTTTTCGTTAGAGAGAAGAAGGTTAAGAGGTGACTTGATAGAGACATACAAGATGATCAGAGGATTAGATAGGGTGGACAGTGGGAGCCTTTTTCCTCGGATGGTGATGGCTAGCACGAGGGGACATAGCTTTAAATTGAGGGGTGATAGATATAGGACAGATGTCAGAGGTAGGTTCTTTACTCAGAGAGTAGTAAGGGTGTGGAATACCCTGCCTGCAAAAGTAGTAGACTCGCCCACTTTAAGGGCATTTAAATGGTCATTGGATAAACATATGGATGATATTGGAATCGTTTAGGTTAGATGGGCTTCAGATTGGTTTCACAGGTCGGCACAACATCGAGGGCCAAAGGGCCTGTACTGCGCTGTAATGTTCTATGTTCTATGTTCTATGTTGCCAGAGTTGGAGGGTTTGAGCAATAGGGAGAGAGTGAATAGGCTAGAGATATTTTCCCTGGAGCGACAGAGGCTGAGGAGTGACCTTATGGAGGTTTATAAAATCATGAGGCGCATAGATGGGGTGAATTGCCAAGGTCTTTTCCCCAGGGTAGGGGAGACCAAATCTAGAGGGCATAGGTTTGAGGTGAGAGGGGAAAGATTTAAAAAGGACTAAAGGGAAAACTTTATCATGCAGAAGGTCATGCATGTATGGAATGAGCTGTCAGAGGTGGTGGAGTCTGGTACAATTACAACATTTAAAAGGCATCTGGATGGGAACATGAATAGGAAGGGTTTGGAAGGATATAGGCCAAATGCTGGCAAATCAGACTAGATTAATTTAGGATATCTGATCAGCATGGATGAGTTGGACCAATGGGTCTGTTTCCATGCTATACATCTCTATGACTATTAAAAAAATTTAATTTTAAAGCTTAGACAACAAGGTGCAGAGCTGGATGAACACAGCAGGCCAAGCAGCATCATAGGAGCAGGAAGGCTGATGTTTCGGGCCTAGACCCTTCATCAGAAATGGAGGAGGGGAAGGGGGTTCTGAAATAAATAGGGAGAGTGGGGAGGCGGATAGAGGAGAAGATAGGTGGAGAGGAAACAGACAGGTCGACGAGGCGGGGATGGAGCCAGTAAAGGTGAGTGTAGGTGGGGAGTTAGGGAGGGGATAGGTCAGTCCAGGGAGGACGGACAGGTCAAGGGGGCGGGATGGGGTTAGTAAGTAGGACGGACTTTTCAGGAGTCGCAGGGAGAAACGTTTCTGAAGGATCTCAATGCTATGAATGTAGATCTTGTCACGGTTGGGGCCAAATTGGGAGGGCCTGAATGTGTCCTACTATCTCTGATTCAATTTTAAAGCTTGTTTTTTTCCTCCAAAAACCTTTGAAATAACTCCACAGAGGCTGGTATCCCATCACCAAGTCACCCGTTAATTACACATTAAGGATCCTTGACACTGACCTAGGTCCCTCAGAGTCAGCAGAACCTCTGACACTCCTGCTTTTATCTATCAGCCACGGGTCCCTGATTGGACCAGATTAACAGGCCGAATCAAGTAACTCATATTCTATAAGTTCCATCTGGCTGACCTTGTTATAATCATGACAACCTTAGCATATCACAAGATGCTTTTCAGCCTGTGAAGTACTTCTGTATTCACTGTTGCAACATTAGAAACATGGTTACCAATTGGTGCGCAGGAAGCCATCCAGATTATCGGTTTTGGTGACATTTGAGGCATAAATGTTGAGCAAGACTCTGGGAATCACTTTCCACTTTTCTTTGAAATATTGCCAGGGCAGGTGTTATTTCTTGTCCATCAGAGAGAGCTGACAGGCCACAGTCTAACATCCAAGGCGTCAAACAGGGAGATGTTAAGGAACATCTTAAAAGAAGATTGAGGTCGAGAGACACATTGATTGAGGGAGGAAGTTGAACAGAGCATCTGTAGCAAAAATTACATCCCCCAGTGGTGGAGAAATAAAAATCGGGGATGTGCAACAGGCTGAAATAGGAGGAACACAGGCATCTTGTGTATCATTGAATTGGTGGTGGTTATTATGTTAGGCATGAGCAAAACCATAGATGAATTTTGAAACAAGGATGAGAATTTAAGAATTCAGGCTTTGTCAGACAGAACCCGAGTTAATCATTGAAGAGGCTATAGGTGTAGAAATTTATGTCAGCTTTAAACAAGACATTGAAATTTTGAAAATCCTGGAACAGTATCTGGAGAGGGTCAGTAACGGTGAGAAGGGTTTCAGTTAGCAGGCAAGGCTAATAATTATCATCTTTCCCATGCATCATTGAGGAAATTGAAACTTTATGGCAGGTAAACAGCTTGGCCACACATTGGTTGCAAAAAGATCAAAGCAGAAAGTGGGCCAGTGTACATTTGCAACCTGAACCTGTGTCTGTAAATGACACCACTAAGGGGCAGCATATCAATAAGGAAGGAGCAGTAAAGAACATACTTTGAGGACTATGGAAGTAATCGTCGCTCATCCGGAGCAGGTTCATGACACAGGACTCCATGCTCTACAGGCTGTTGTCCGGGCACAATTCAAGGCAAACGTGGCCTGTGCTTGGAGGAGTATCAGCTTAATGAAAGATGCTCTTTGGTCTGCCCGAGACTTGTTGGTCTTCCAGTGCAAGGAGTTGACCTTGACTGACTGGCACATTCCAAAGCCCAGGACTACACGGTAATGGACACACTGAAGGTGGTGTGGTGGCTTAGTGGTTAGCACAGCTGCCTCACAGATCCAGGGACCCAAGTTTGATTCCGCCCTCAGGCAATTGTCTGTGTGGAGTTTACACATTCTCCCTTTATCTGTGTCGGTTTCTTCCTGTTTCCTCCCACAGTCCAAAGATGTGCAGGATAGGTGGTTTGGCCATGCCAAATTGCCCATAGTCTCTGGGGATGTGCAAGCTAGGTAGATTAGCCATGGGAAATGCAGGGTTACAGGGATAGGGATGCACTTTGGAGGGTTGGCATGGACTCAATGGGCCAAATGGCCTGCTTCCACACTGTAGGGATTCTAAAGCTTGGGGCAGCTGCTGCCAAGGGGCAGAGTGGAAAGGCCACCATCTAAATTCTTCCTGCCTAAACAGAAAAAGGGTCTGTTAAGTTTCAAGATATCCCTATAGTCTTAATGGGAATGTAAATATTTTCCTTTCATGTTGAGACAATATCTTTGTTGTTGCAATGGATTGAACCTCTAATGAGGAATTTCAAAGTTCCACTGTTCTTTTCCACAATTTCTGTACTGAACTGTTTTGCATGTTTTGTATTTGCTTATAGATAATTTATGAATAAAATATACTTTTGAAATAAAATGTGTGATATCAGGAAGAGTTTGGAATAAGCAGAGAAAGTCCTGAAATTCCACATTAGATCATTTAGCATCTGAAGGAAAAGATATGCAGGTTAGCCTTTGGATTTGACTAGACTCACCAAACCTCCTAGATTGTTATGCAGTCTCCAGAATTTAAAGCTTAATCTCTGGGACAGGACATGAGCCCCCATAGATCAAAAGTAGACGCCTTCAAAATATTGTAGGTTTTCTTCATTTCCACACTTTAGTTTACACACTCTAAAACTGCTAAACGTTGGGGAAGAAAAGCAACTCTCTAGCATTCAACACCCATCCAATGGAAGGAGGGTACCGGACTCAAAATGTTAACTCTGCTGTCTCTCCACAGAAGCTGCCAGACCTTTTGAGTTTAGAGTCATAGTTGTACAGCATGGAAACAGACTCTTCAGTGCCATGCATCCATGCCTACTAGATATCCTAAATTAATCTAGTCCCATTTGCCAGCATTTAGCCCATATCCCTCTAAACCCTCCTATTCATATACCCATCCAGATGCCTTTTAAGTGTTGTAATTCGACCAGACACCACCACTTCTTCTCACAGTTCATTCCATACACGCACCACCCTCTTGAGTGAAAAAAGCTACTCCTTAGGTCCCTTTTCAGTCTTTCTCCTCTCAACCTTAACCTATGCCCTCTAGTCTGGGGAAAGACCTTGGCTATTCACTCTATCCATGCCCCTCATGATCTCATAGATTTCTAT